ACGGGAGAAAAACCATACAAATGTAAAGATTGTGGCAAAGCCTACATTTGTTCCTCACAGTTAAATATTCATAAGAGAACGCATACAGGAGAGAAGCCCTACAAATGTGAAAGTTGTGAAAAGGCTTTTGCTCATTCCTCATCTCTTGCTGTGCATCAGAGAATCCATACTGGAGAGAAACCTCACAAATGTAATGAGTGTGGCAAAACTTTCATTCGTTCCTCAGCCTTAAATGTGCATAAGAGAATCCACACTAGAGAGAAACATTACAAATGCCAAGTATGTGAAAAGGCTTTTATTCATGCATCACAGTTTGCTATTCATAAGAGAACTCACACTGGAGAGAAACCTTACAAATGTAATGAGTGTGGCAAATCCTTCAAATGTTCCTCACACTTAAATGTGCATAAGAGAATACATACAGGAGAGAAATCATACAAATGTGAAAGTTGTGGAAAGGCTTTTGCTCGTTCATCATATCTTGCTGTGCATCAGAGAATCCATACTGGAGAGAAACCTCACAAATGTAGTGAGTGTGGCAAACGTTTCATTCGTTCCTCAACCTTAAATGTGCATCAGAGAATCCATACTGGTGAGAAACCTCACAAATGTAATGAGTGTGGCAAAGCTTTTATTTGTTCCTCCATCTTGAATGTGCATAAGAGAATACATACAGGGGTGAAATCCTACAAATGTGAAAGTTGTGGAAAGGCTTTTTCTAGTTCATCATATCTTGCTGTGCATCAGAGAATCCATACTGGAGATAAACCCTATCATTGTAAAGATTGTGGGAAAACCTTCATTGTTTCCTCAGAACTTCAAAGGCATCAGAGAATCCACACTGGAGAGAAATATTACAAATGTCAAGAATGTGGAAAAGCTTTTAATTATTCTTCACAGTTTGCTATTCATAAGAGAACTCATACTGGAGAGAAACCTCACAAATGTAATGGCTGTGGCAAAGCTTTCGTTTCTTCCTATAACTTAAGTGTGCATAAGAGAATACATACAGGAGAGAAATCCTACAAATGTGAAAGTTGTGGAAAGGCTTTTGCTCATTCCTCATCTCTTGCTGTGCATCAGAGAATCCACACTAGAGAGAAACATTACAAATGATAAGACTGTGGAAAAGCTTTTATTCAATCTTCACAGCTGGGTATTCATCAGCGAATACATACTGGAGAAAAACCCTAGAATTGTAAAGATTATGGCAAAACGTTCATTTCTTACTCAGGATTTCATAGGCATCAGAGTATCCACACTTTGTAGAAACTCTACAAATAAGAACATTGTGCAAAGGGGTTTACTCATTCCTTATTTTCTGTTGTACATCAGAGGATCTGTACTGGAAAAAAAAACACCCTAGTTGAAGAATGTGGCAAAACATTTCACCACAGGTCTCACTTGAGTAATCATCAAAGAATATATACTGGAAACACATGAATATGATTGCAAAGAATGTGAAAAATTGTTTAACATGTGCTCAAATTTCATTTTATATAGGACAATTCCTACTGATGAGAAAGATTGTAATCGTAAAATATGTAATCGTAAAATATGTGAAAAAATTTAAATACAGAATCAACTTTATACAAATCACAGAAATTGTACTACTTTTATTCATTCAATACATGCAGGTTGAAAGACTTTGGCAAAATACCCACAATAGAGATCGCAAGAAGATACATAGTGAAAATAACATTTTTACATAGAATAAATCTGTGGATCTATTTCAACAAGCAGAAAACTACAATAGCAATACAAATTTTCATGCAAGAAATGGCTAAGGCACTGGCAACTTCATGCCATATTCTAATCTACAGTATTATAGATAAGAATGCAAAGTCAACAATTGCATGATTTTGTGTGTTTCAAAGGACCAAAGACAATATCTTTTGTCTATATGTTTATATCAAATAGATCCATTTTTCTCTGGACAATTCTGCTATTTCAAATTGTACATAATAGAGATCAATTTCATCCTCAAATCAGTTTTGACTACATCTTATTTCCTCATAATTACATAAAATCTCAAGGTCAATTTGCTGCATTTTAAAGAGAACTTTGTATGAAACAGAGGCACCATTAATATTCATTTTACATAATGATTAAGGTGGTAAAGTGTAACGTACATCTAGAACATCCCTAGTTGGGCATGCTTTGTGTTTGAATTGCAACTGAATGGGTGCCAATCTGCAGTTGGAATTCAGAGCACCATTCTTCAGCATAAAATTGAGAAAAGAAATTCAGAATTAGTAAAATGAAACATATTATGAATCAAGACTTAAGAAGGAAGCAACTCGCCAGTGCATGAAAATATTGGTAAATAAACATAGTGAGGTATGATTCAAGTCTGCCATATTATTGGGTGTAAGAAGGATTTTAAATATCTTTAACTGTCACCATGGAAATTTGAAACTAATGGAGGTAAATGGTTTTAAGTATATATCATCTTGATATTTTATAGCAAGGTGGCTATTTTTTAATTGACAATGAAGAAGCACAACATCACTATAGCAGAACAAATTTGATGCTTCCTCATTGCTGGTGAGGTGATATTTCATGAGGCATCATGTGATGGACTTTACACTCATTTATTTAGAATCAAACTATAACTTTTAATTAATAAAGTGTAATGTGTTTTTAATTTTAACATGAATTAATGAACTCTTATTTTGCACCAACATTAAACTTTCCCAAATTATTTCAATCTGTTGGAAACAAAAGTGATTTTAGAGGCTGTACCCTCATTACAGGACAATACCATGGAATCATTTCTCTCATATTAAAATTGTTTCTCTCATTTAAAACTCAAATAAGAAGGAAAAATTTCTTCAAATCACTTGTACAAAGATGAATTTCAGGAGTGTGAGAAGTATAAATGAGTAAGTTTGTGTGTGAGTGTCCTTCTGTGTGCATAAGTTTACTGTTGAAAGAAATAATAATACTGAAAAACATAAGTATTTTGGAAGAGTAGAGATTTTCTAGCTGATTAGTCACCTCCCAGGTGATCAAGTTAAAGAGTTCCACTAGTATATAAGAGACTACTTTCTCCCAAACTCTGTGTCTCAGGTTCAGACCCTCTACACACAAATCCTGTCCTTGTCTATTAGGAGGTAACTGAGTAAGAAGTAATATGTGATTTAACATTCCAAAGTTCATGACATGTTGTTTAGGTGGACAGCTTGGGGTTTGAGTCATTGAGATAGGAGGCTGAACAATTTTTTTGCTTTGATGTCTGTGTCTGGCTTTGGAATCAGGGTGATATTGGTGTCATTGAATGACTTTGGAAGTCTTCTATCTTTTTCTATATCATGAAATAATTTGAGGAATATTGGTATTAGTTCTTCTTTAAATGTCTTGTCGACCTCAAGACATTTGTGTGTCCCCATCGAGTCCTGGGATTTTCTTGGTTGGTAGGCTTCTGATGCCATCTTCTATTTCATTGCTTGAAATTGATATGTTTAAGTCATATATTTCATCCTGGTTCAGTCTGAGCAAATCATATGACTCTAGAAATTTGTCAGTGCCTTTAATGATTTTATTTATTTTTATTTTTTTTATTATTTTAAAGAGAGAGTGAGAGAGATAGAGATAGAGAGAAAGAATTTTAATATTTTATATTTTAGTTATCGGCGGACACAACATCTTTGTATGTGGTGCTGAGGATTGAACCCGGGCTGCATGCATGCCAGGCGAGCGCGCTACCGCTTGAGCCACATCCCCAGCCCTGGTTTTATTTAATTGGAGTAAAAATTCTGAAAATAATTTCTAATCATTTAGTATCTGTCATGATATTTTCTTATCACAGATGTTAGTAATTTGAGTTTTCTCTATCCTTATTCTTCATTAGCATGGCTAAGTGTTTATGAGTTTTATTTATATTTTCAAAGAACCGACTTATTGTTTTGTTAATTTTTTTCAATTTTGTTTCATTTTCATTATTTTTAGATTTAATTTTAATTGTTTTTTAATCTTTTACTGCTTTAGGTGTTAATTTTGCTTCTTTTTCTACAGCTGTGAGATATAATGTTACATCATTAATTTGTTGAATTTTTTTCTTTTAAGTAATGAACTCTAGGGAACAGGCTTTCCTCTTGGGACTGCCTTCATAGTGTCCTAGAGATCTTGATATGTTGTATCGGTATGATCATTTACATCTATGATTTTTTTAAGTCTCTTTGATGTCTTTTGCAACTCATTGTTCATTAAATAATCTATTATTTAGTCTCTGAATGTTTCAGTAGTTTTTTATTAGTTTATTAATTTTTGTTTTTATTTTTTATATAATCATTTTAAATGAAGAAAAAATTGAAGGCATTCCCTCTAAACTCTGGAGCAAGACACAGATGCCCTGTTTCACCACTTCTATTTAACATAGTTTTTGAAACACTGGCTAGAGCAATTAGATGAAAGAAATTAGAGGGATATACATAGGAAAAGAAGAACTCAAATTGGTACTATTTGCTAATGATATGATCCCCTACCTAGAATACCCAAAAAGATTCACCAGAAAAATTCTAGAATTAATGAATTATTTTACCAAACAAGCAGGATATAAAATCAGTACCCATAAGTGAAAGACATTTCTGTATATTAGTGACAAATCCTCAGAAAGGGAAAGAGGAAAAATACCCCATTTACAATAGACCCCAAAAAATACTGGAGGATCAACTTATTGAATGAGGTGAACAATATATATAATGAAAATTACAGAGCCCTAAAGGAAGAAGTTAAAGAAGATCTTAGAAGATGGAAAGATGTACCTTGCTCTTAGGTAGGCAGAATTAATATTATCAAAATGACTATAATACCAAAATCAATATACAGATTTAGTGCAATTTTCATCAAAATCCTAAGGACATTCTTCATAGAAATAGAAAAAGAATTCATGAAATTCACCTAGAAAAATAAGAGACCCAGAATAGTTAAAGCGATTCTTAGCAGGAAGACTGAAACTGGTGGCATCACTATAGCAGCACTTAAACTATACTACAGAGAAAGAGTAACAAAACCAGCATGGTATTGGCACCAAAACAGACTGGTAGACCAATGGTACAGAATAGAGGACACAGAGACTAGGCCACAAAACTACAATTATCCTATGTTAGACAAAGGTGCCAAAATCATGCCTTGAATAAAAGATAAACATAGGCTCTTCAACAATGGTGCTGGGGAAATTAGAAACCCATATGCAACAACATGAAATTAAACCCCTATCTCTCACATGCACAAAATTCCACTCAAAGTGGATCAAGGACCTAGGAATAAAACCATAGACCCTGTGTATAATAGAAGAAAAATTAGGCCCTGATCTCCATCATGTCAAATTAGGATCCAATTTCCTTAATAAGACTCT